TCTGTAAACCCCTTAGAGAGGGCTGAAAGCCCTATGAAGCGGTATATAAGTCTAACTGCTATTGCTATTGCTAACTATTGTCTTTTACTTCCAGACAATCGAAGAAAAGATCCTCCTCTTAGTGGCCATGATCCTAGGACAGCTGTTCAACTTAGAAGCCTCAGTACAGTTTTGAAACGTCTCAAAGAAATCATGGATGGAAAAAGCCAGGTATTGCTTTAATAGTTTTTGAGTAATCCTGAAATCAGTTCTGGTTTTTTTATCTATATATATTTAAAATCCCATTTTGTATTTAGAATTTGTATAGAGAATTAGGAAACACTGCTACTGCTAAATATATTTTCAAGCAGCGAGATCAAGGGCTGTCTACTAATTTTGACAATAATAGCAAATCACTTTTCATACCTTCCCAGTGTGATATATCTGGTTTCCTTCTCATGTGTGAGTTGGAAATTTTTCTTTAGCTGCCTTTTAGTAAATCAAATCCTATGGCTTAATGATTAAATTCAGAGCACTGCATAAGTGAAATCCTTTGGGTTGGGTAAACCTAGCAGGACATAGCTTTTTAAGACAGGAGCGGTGCAAATGTATTAATTCTCCATTATCTATTTTATAGCAACTATGAGGATTGCAGAATTTTGATACATTATAAACAGGCTTTCATATGCCCACGTTCTGAATCTAATTTAAATTTCATACCTCAACTCTAGTCAACCTGTAAATGAGTATAATAATCACATTTTGGACTTGTGAGATTTCATGATATGACTCACATTCAGAAATAGGAAGTGTTCAGAACTGTGAAACTCTTTCCTTGACTAAACAGCAAATTTCTTCCATAGGACAGTGACCTCAAACAATACTGGATGCCAGATAGCCAGTGTAAAGAGTGTTACGACTGTAGTGAAAAATTCACTACCTTTAGACGCAGACATCACTGTCGGTTATGTGGGCAGATTTTCTGTAGCCGATGCTGTAACCAGGAAATCCCTGGAAAATTTATGGGTTATACAGGTAAGATGGAAGTGTAATCAAACATCTAGCTTTTGAGAAGATGAAGAAATCATTCTTCTGTTGGAATGGGTGGGTGAGGATGAATTTCACATTGCCCTAAAACCAGTGACGTGCGGTGAGGTTCACCACCGGTGAGGCAAGCGGGCAGGATTTCGCCTCCCCCCCACCAGCCGGAATAGTGCATGCACCATCCATCCCCCTCACCCCAGCTGCACCAGAGGAGAGGGGGGAAAGCCAAACAGAGCCCCCCCTTCCCACTCAAAGCCCCCTTAAAGCAGAGAACAAGCCCGCTCTATGGCGGACAGGCGCGCTGGCACTTTAAAGTGCATGCCGCCCGGCCACAAACCAGGACATGTTTCAGCTCTATGGCGGGCTGAGGCGGCATGGCTTTAAAAAATAAAAAATAAAAATAGATGCGCCAGCCTGCGCGCCAGCAGAGGTGGGTAAAACACACACACACACACACAATAAAAACAAATTACAATTACTTACATTACAAATAATTTTGAATCCCCCCCCACTCCCTCTGTCCAATCCACATACCTTTTCCAACTGTGGATTTCAACTCTCCTCTT